TTGTTTATTATACAAATAAAAGTCGACGGCTGTTTAGTGCGTGTGTCAGTAGGGCGCGCGTTTATAAAATTGCCTAAATATACACTAGAGTCTTGAAATTTTGCAAAGATGTTTTTGATAGTGTTATTTAACATCTCTAAAAATTTCAGAATTTTTGGCCAACTATTTCTGAATTTATAGCATAAAAAGCCCGATATTTACCCTTATAACGTGCTTTTTCTTTCAGAAGTTCTGAAATACAAAACCAGAAATTCTGAAATTTTTAGAGATGATTAATAACAAGCTGATTGACATCTATACAAAGTTTCAAAGCTTTAGGTTCATTCTTGACCTTTTCATAAATCAACGCCCTACCAACTACAACGCCTTAACGTCATGTTCCCTTCGCACTACCCCTACACCCTACGTTTTCATTTAATCCTTTTTTCTATTTTTTATACATTTGCACATTTAACCTTCCAAAAACAAAATTTTTTAGTAAAGTAGAGACATAATAAATAATATTTAGGCCAAATTTACTTTTTATTATTTTGGATTTGTTAAATTTTAGTTTTACATTTTTACTTTATTTTTGTATATTTTTGCCTTTTTAACTAGAGTTCGAACCCGGGCCGGGCCCGGACCGGTTTTTTCCGGGCCCGGTGGCCCGGAACCGGGTATTTTTGAGAAAATCAGGTTTTTCCGGGCTAACCGGTTTTTCCGGTTTTATCCGGAAAAGCCGGCCCGGGTGCGATTTTGAGTAAAAAAAACCGGGTCCCGGGCCCGGTAATTTTTTGCCGGGCCCGGAGAGTTGCCTCCGGCGGTGAAAAAGGAAGAAATCTGGCCTCTTGGCCTTCCAAAATTCTCAAAAATTTCGCCTGCGGCGCTGAAAAAAGATGAAATTTTGCTCCTTGGCCTTCCAAAATTCACAAAATTTTCGCCTGCGGCGCTTGAAAAAGAGAAAAGGGATTTTTATTGATATCGGAAGATTAACTCAAATTTTCTCGATATCCCTATTAATCACCATCAGTGGATTTAAGTGAAAATTCGGATTTGAAGAGGAAATCGGAGGATTAAGGGGGATAATATTATATTTGGAATTACTATGGATCCCCTTCACATTCATAATCTTCTTTATCCCTCCAAATCACTGATATCACATGGAGGCTTCCCAAATACTTCAAATCCACTTATTTTCCCAGACTACAAATTATTTCAAAAATTGCGCATTGCGGACTGCGGAAAATTTTTTTCACTTGCGTACACCCTGCTATATATCCTTTAGCGCATCTATCCTTTGATTCATCTATCCTTTAATCGATCCTTTGTATGTTTTCCGATTCTTTGTATGTGTGATAATTTTTTTATGTTTTTAATAAATTTAGAAAAAACCGGGTCCGGGCCCGGGTCTGAAAAAATCCGGTTTTTCCGGGCTAACCGGTTTTTCCGGTTTTATCCGGAAAAACCGGTCCGGGTGCGATTTTGAGAGAAAAAAACCGGGTTCCGGGCCCGGCATTTTGAAAAGTTCGAACTCTATTTTTAACGTTCATTTATTTATTTTAAGACTTCTGTTTTAATTATGGATTAACTCAAAATCCTTAGGAAATTTTTATAAATTCCTTTAATCAAAATTTTCATTCAACTCATTAGTAAGCGTATAATTTTTGAAAAGATTCGGAATTGCCTAGCAATTACGTTTTGGCTAAAATTATTATACTTTGATGGGATGAATAAAAGCTCATGGACGCATGTCTTAAAGTTAACTAAAATTGTTTATGCAGATTATTAACTATTTATTTTTACTCAATATTAATTTTTTAATTTAAATTTTATTATTAATTAACCATAAATTTGTTTGTATTCGTCGCGCTTGTATGCCAGAGTTTATATTTTTGTAAGCCAGCTTTTTCGTTGGCTAAAATATCATACCATTAAGGTTGGCGGATTCGGATATCCGGATCCGAAAAAAGGCCGGATATCCGAAATTTTCGGTTCGGATATCGGATCCGGATATCCGAAATTTTCGGTTCGATATCGGATCCGGATCCGGATATCCGAAAATTTCGGTTCGGATCCTAGAATCAGGGAAAAAGGAAGAAATCTTGCCCAATGGTCTTCCAAATTTCTCAAAATTTTCGCCTGCGGCGCTGAAAAATGAACAAATCTGGTAGCCCAGGCTTCCAAAATTCGCAAAAATTTCGCCTGCGGCACTGGAAAAGGAACATCTGGTAGTCTAATCTTCCAAAATTACCAAAATTTTCGCCTGCGGCGAAAATTTTGGAATGGAAGAAATTTTGCTTATTTTGCTCCCAAAATTACAAAAAATTTTCACCTTCGGCGCTAAAAAGTGAATTTTTTTGGCCTACGGCCTTCCAAATTTACCAAAATTTTCGCCTGCGGCGCTGTCACTGGAAGAAATCTGACTTAAGGACCTCCAAGTTTTAAAATTTTCGCCTGCGCCGCTTAAAAAGGAAGAAAATGGGTTTGTATGATAACGGAGGATTTATCTCTAAATTCCTCAGTATTCTCTTAATCCCACGATCCCACTACTTCCCCCAAATCCACTAAATTCTCACAAATCATCAGATAAACTACAAAATTTTCCACACATTGATTACACCTAGATAACTCTGTTAAGCATAAATTATCTTGATAACACTGTTAATCCCCAAATCCGATTATAATTGCTCCTAATCCCTTTATATTTTCCATAAGACTCAACTTTTCAGCGCTGCAGGCGAAAATTTTAAAAATAAAAATTTCGGATCCGGATCCGGATATCCGAAATTTTCGGTTCGGATACCGGATCCGGATATCCGAAATTTTCGGATCGGATACCGGATCCGGATATCCGAAGATTTCCAGCTATCCGCCAACCTTACATACCATACATGTTAAAGTTTATCGGACTTGATGTTCTCGTTAACATCATATTTAGAAAAAAAAACATTTGCCGGGAGATTTAATTAATCTATTTTCCGGAAGTTTACTTAGTATTTATTTTTCATTTAAATTTTATTATTAATTAAATGTAAATTTATTTTTTTGATTCCAATAAGATCCTCTGAGTTATTATTCTTGTAAGTTAAACATTTTGTTTGACTAAATTTTACATTATAAGGCTAACAATTTATAAAAGCTTATCTTACTTTAAAATAGCCTGAGATTTTTAATCAAATTTTATTATTAATAAAGTCAATCGCTTTATTTTTAATTGAATCCGTTAAATCGTTTGCATGTCAACCATTTTTGTTTTGACCAAAATGTTCAAATAGAAATTAAGGGTTACCCGGAAACTTGATTTTCTGTAGTTTTATAGTATCCGGAAAAAGATATTTTTCGGATAAATTATATGAAAAATCCAAAAATAATGTTGACTTTATTTTTGTAGGCGAAATTTGTTTTAGTTAAAATTGTTTGCGTGAGTTATCTTATTTTTTTACTTAGTACTAATTTTTTACTTTATATTTTATTATTACTAAATTATAAATTCGTATTATAGTAGTCTTCGGTTGTTTGATATCAGAGTATACATATTTTTGTAAGCCAAACACATTATTTTGGCTAAATTTTAGTCGATAAGCCTAACCAGTTCCGCAAACTTTATTTATTTCAGTTTTGAATTTAGTATGTATTTGTAAAAATTATTTTTTCCGAACATTTCATTTATATTTTTCGGTTTCTAGTTTAGACTTTATTTTCTATTAACTCTACAATATTTCGAAGTGCTAAACTTTTTCGGAAGTATTTTTTTATTTACACCTTATTAATTGATATATAAAGTCAATTTTACACTTTCAAATTTCATCTTACAGTTTTTTAGATTAATTTTATGTTATCCTGAAAAATTATAATTTCCTTAAGGTCGAAATTATGTATGTATATATTTCATGGAAAATTTAGCAAATATGTTGTGACTCCAAGTCAACAACAGAAAGTTTATCACGAAGAAAATACAATGAAGGTGAAGATTGGGGTAGGAAGAATAAGAGTGAAGGGGCTGAACTAACTCACGGCTGGCTTTTATAGTATTATACTTAAGGGCTTACGCCCATACGCAACACCTCCCCCCTTTGAAAAAAAGGTTTGGGTTTTACTTAAAGCCGAAGCTTTACAATATACTTACACTTTTTGCCAGCCAACAACAACAAAATTAAATATACATACATACAAATATTTTGGGAAATGGGCAATAGGAACAAAGAAAATACATATTACAAACAAAATACAAACAATAATTATATTTATATATTTATCTATTTTTTGGCTCATCTATGTTTTTGGCACATCTACGTTTTTGGCTCATCTACGTCTGCATTTTGTTGTCTTCGAATTCTTTCATCTTAGCTTTGGTCCCATTGCATGCTTCCTTGTTGCTGTTGCTGCTACTGATGGCACTTCCACTAATACTTTCAATGATCACCAAGTTTTCCAGATCATCACTAAGCTTCTTCTTGTTATCACTGTACGTATCTTTTCTGATTTCTTTGTGCGTACGTGTCACTATACTTTTTAGGATGGGAACCTTCACTTTCCATGCATTGAATGTTTTTCGAATCACTTCGCCTTTCAACCATTCAATTTTTCCGGTGCGGTTGTTGGTGTTTTTGATACTGACTTTGGTTCCACTTGGAAATACATTTCCTTTTTGCACTTTTCCTTTCCGGAATTTACACTTCTTTTTCTTGGAACTTTTGTCTTCTTCACTTTCACTGATTTTATGCAACACTGGCAATCCAATAATATTTTTGCTTCCTTTCACTACGTGCATTTCGACGATGATGTCTTTATCTTCAATTTCCATAATGCACTTCCACTTTCCTTCAATTTCGAAGTCTTTATCGCCAAAGCCTTTTCCTTTGTATTGCACTGGCTCTAACTTTGGAGATCCAATGTCTTCCCAAACTTCGGGCGTCACTGCATTGATTTGTGAACCACTATCAATTATCATCTCAATTTGATGCCCGTTGACCTTCACTTTCTTTTTAATCCATTCTTGAACTTTGAAGTTTTCACTGGGATCACAAATTTCTCCAACTCCACAATAGGGACCTAAGTAATTATCTTTTTTAGGATAATTCACTTTAGAAGTTTTATACTTACTTTTGTAATGCCAACAATCTTGTTTGACATGTCCTTTCTTTCCACAGAACTCGCACTGCACTTGTTTAGGCAACCACTGTCGTTCTGTTTTCCACTTTTCTTCTTTCTCTTTCACTTCTTTAGGTGGCTGTTCGTTTTCAGCTTTCACCCAATTTACTTTTACAGCATGTTCTTTAACCACTGTGGGTTTTACAGCAATCATTACGGCCTCCGCTTTGTTGGCCAAATACAATCGACACTCTTCGATGACGTCCTTGAGAATCACTGGCACTGCTTGCTTCTTTTTGGTTTCGACAAAGCGCATGGCCAATTGACGCAATGATTGTTCTTCACTAGGCAAACCTGAAATATATATCAGGATTTTAATTTCCTCAATACTCAATGCCATCTGCGCCTTTTCACATTGGGCATTAACCCTACTGCCAAACTCAATCACATCTTCAAGACCCTGGCATTTCAGATTTAATGCCTCATATCTCTTAACTAACTGAGATTTAGGGTCCCCAAACTCTTTTTTCAATTCACTAACTAAGTCCCAAAATTTCATTTCACTAAGCTTAGTTGGCAGCATTTTCCTTTCGATACGGGCATACTCCTCACTACCCAACTTACTTAATAGCAATCGAACTTTCGAGGATTCTGGCAAGGCTTTCCCCTCCTCCTCAAAGTAAGATTTATTCTTACTGAACCAACTATAGAAGGTAATATCCCTTGGAATGTCTGCACTAAACTCACTAATCAGACTACTCAACTTACAATAGATTGAAGTTTCGATTTCTTCTGGTCCACTTGCGGCTTGACTTTTGAGCACTCGTGCCAGCATTTCTTCGAACTTTTCCTGTTGTGCATCGAGAATACGTTGCAGTTCCAACTTGTTCATTTTATCTGAATGAACAAAACTTTTTCACTAATACTAGACTTTTTACACTAACACTAACACTCACTTTTTGTAGTCGATCGTTTGTCGGCGTACAGACTTTTTGTTATTGCTGTTGTCGATCGTTTTCGGCGCACAGACTTTTTGTTGTTGCTGTTGTCGATCGTTTGTCGGCGCACAGACTTTTTGTTGTTGACGACAGTTGTCTTCTTCTGCAGCTGTTGTCGAGACTGGTTCGTTGCTAGACCGCGCCAATTCTGTTGTGACTCCAAGTCAACAACAGAAAGTTTATCACGAAGAAAATACAATGAAGGTGAAGATTGGGGTAGGAAGAATAAGAGTGAAGGGGCTGAACTAACTCACGGCTGGCTTTTATAGTATTATACTTAAGGGCTTACGCCCATACACAACAAAATAATCCGAAATTAAAATGACTATTTTTGTAAGCACAACATTGTCTAAAAATTTTTGCGTCATTAATTGCCTATATACTTTTACTCAGTGTTAATTTTTTTATTTCAATTTTATTATTAATAAATGTATTAAAATTAATCTTTGTCTCGACCTCGTCACCGAAGATATATTTTTGTAAGCCAAACATCGTATGGCAAAAGTGTTACCTGATTTTTTAATTCATTTTATTGTAACCGTGAAAATATTTTCCGGAATAATTATAAAGCATCCAAAAATTAAAATTATTTCTTCAATAATAATTTTAAAAAACCCTTTTACTTCCTGTTAACCTTGATTTTTAAATAAAATTTGATCTTTGCTTCTTTAACGGATAAAAGAGAACAGAGAACATAGCCCAGCTGCCCTTGTTTGATTTTTTGTTTTCCGGTTAATTTTATGGTAACCTGAAAAATTATGCTTTCGTAAGCTTAAAATTATATATTTCTTTGTGGAGTTTAATATATTTTACGAATACAAACATACAGAATTAAAGTGACTATGTATTTTTATAAGAACACTCTTGTAGCCTTTGCTAAAATTAATTTGCGTGGTTTATTGGCTATCAATTTTACTCAGTATTTATTTTTTATTTAAATTTTATTATTAGTAGATTTATTATAAATCGACTCTACTTCTGATCTCTCACCGAGGAGTATATTTTTGTGAGCCAAACATTCTTGTGGGGCTAAAGTGTTACTTGGGTCTCTAGTTATCTATTTTTATTGTAACCGGAGAATAATTTCCGGAAAAATTGCATCAAAAATTGATATTCTTTTAATGATTAAAAAGAGCCCCTCTCATTTACTTCCTGTTAACCTTGATTTTAAATAAAATGATCTTTGCTTCTTTAACGCTATAATAGAGAACAAAGAACAGCAGCGCAGCCGCCCTTGTCAGTCACGCGAATTTATTATTATTGTTTACTTGGTTATGCCTTTTCTTCCTCTATTTTCTTTTATATTTATTCAGCTGATCATTGGTCTCGAGTGGTTATTTTTGTTTGTGACAGCCTGTATATATTTGTGTAGCTGTTTTTTTAAACTTCCTTTTCCGATTTTTATTTCTCATTATTTATCATCATCTTTTATTTATTGTGACTATATTTTGGTTCGTTTCTTTTATTTATTTAAACTCCAAAAATTTTGTTTGTTTTTTATTTTTAAAATATACTTAAACTTCGTTATCAACTACTCCCGCCTCCTAATTAACCCCAATTTATTATACTTTTTTGAAATTTGGTTTCGCAATAAGCGGCTTTTTATTTTAGAAGTCTTCTTATAAGACTTTCTATTTGATACTAGAGTTGTACCTCGAACACTCGGGGCGATTTTGTCGAAGTTCGGTGTTCAAATTGTTTTGTGCGGGATCGGTTGATCAAAATATGGTCAAAGTTTGGATTGTCTAATACCCCCTATTTAAGATACTCTCATTATTTAAGATACTCTTATGTATTTTAAAATACCTGTGTTTGCTGATAAATAAATAAATAAATTATAAGATACTTTTCTCTACTACATGGTCCGTGAAAAACGAAGTCCTATTATTTTTGACCCTGAATTTTTTCACTTCCACCCTCCCAAATTGTAAGGGTGGAAGTGAAAAATTTTTTATAAAAATAGTCTAGAAATTTTTTTAAATTTTTTAACTACAACCATCCACTATATATAAATTTATTTATCATTTAATTTCCAACCAAAGTAATTTTTAATGTTTGATTATTGTGATCAAAAAATGTGTTATGTATAATGACCATTACTCCCATTATTTAGTTTAAATTATTTTACTGAACACATAACCTTCTTTTTTTGATTCTCCGTTAGTTTAATTTATTATTTTTATTAGCTTCTGATCGTTTATAAAGTTTAGAGTACTAGAGAGTTGATTGAGTCTAGGATTAGAGGAATTATAGGTATTAGGGTTTCACTATGAGTTAGAGGTCGTTCGAAAATGGAGAAGGTGCCGGAAATAGAGACTGTCGGAAATCTGAATCGTTATGAGTTGCTATGAATTAGGGTTGTTTACTAGTGGTTATCAACCGTTACCACCGATTTCTGTTAACTTAAATCTTAGAAGCCCCGTTTTCGGATTGTATATATATTCTGTCACGAATTCAATTCTATCTGTCACGAATCCAATCGAATGATACCAAAAATAAAAAAATAGGTTCAACCACTAAGCAGTCATTACTACTAAACTGAACCTAACTCAATCCTTCTCAATAAATTCTTTCCTTTTTTCAGCAAGACAACGCTCCAAATTTTATTAAAAACTTTATTTTCTTATTTATCTTATAGCAAATTCAATTCTCTATCTTTTGGTATCAAAACCTTAAAAATTGGTTAATGCATTCAATTGTTACATCGATTAGACTAACCCACCAAACGGGACACTATAATTAATTAAATTCTTTTTAAGAAAATGTTTAGAGTTTCTGAAGAAATTTTCTTTCTAATTTATCTCATAGCAAATTCAATTCTCTATCGAACGACACCAAAATTATAAAAATCGGTCCATCCATTCAATAGTTATTAAGCTTAGACTCAACTATACCCAACTACCAGCTTCTTCATTTCCTCCTAATTTTTTCTATTTTTTTTCTAAAAACGTCCTTTAAAGGGCATATTAAATATTTACTATTTTTCATGCTTTTCCAAGTATTTACTTTTTGTTTTTACACTTTTAAGCTTTCATCTGTCCCCACTTTTTTTTTATTTTTTCTTGTTTTTCCAGACAGACTTTTTCTGTCTTCCTTTAACAGCAATTAATGTCAACACCTAAAAAGTGCTCTAGTTTAGTGCCAATTCCTTTTTTTATATTTTTTTACTATTTTTTGCCGTTAACCAGAACAAAAATTTTTTTTATTTTTATCCTTTGTTATTTTCTGTTTATTTTTTTCTGTTTTTAATTTTTATTCTTTTGTTAGTCATATTTTTATTTTATTCAGGGGTAGAATAAATGTATTTTTAGCCTGTTTTTTAATCTAAATTGTACGATAATTATTTTAATTGACAAATTTCAAAAGGCCAGCTTTTTACTTAATTATTACTGTAAACACTCTTATATAGGCCTTGCCCTATTAGAAGCACATAGAAAGAAATATAATGACTCTTTCCGACTCCTTAAACCAAATTACAGAATTACGTCTGGCCGGATCCTGTAGTATTTTTCCGTGTAATCTGTTATGTACGTGACTTGTATGTCTACGTACTAACAAGAATAAACACAAGATAAGACAGTGACTAACAAACTGTGCTTTATCTACAATACTAAATACAATAGGTTGCGAACAATAGAATATGGCTAAACGCCGAATAGGTGGAGACAGAATAGAATAATAGAATAACACTGCGACAATAAGACTAAGACCACGACTGAATAATAGGAAGGCTTTTATACTAAGCCGATACCCAACATAATCCTGTATGGAAACAATCCTGAGATCCACATAAAAAAAGCCTGATTTGGGACCCGAAATCAGGAAATAAGCAGGAAAAGAAAAAAGCCTGCCGATCCTGCCCTCTATTGGGGTTTGAGTCTGAACTCAATTTCCTATTAGAGCCCCCAGCTATTGGAGGGTTTTTGAATTAATAAAATCGTTCTTCTTAATACATATCTCTTTAGTGCCAATAAATTATTAAAATATTTTTTTTATTTTTGCTTCTTCCCTTTTCCACATTTTTTTCTCTTTTTTAGCATTTTTTTCACGCTAGACATCCATTTTTCTAACATAAACAACGCCAACTATATTTTATATTTTTCATTATCCTTTCTAAAATAGTATTAAAGTACAGCTAAAATAAGTCTCTTTTAGTAAACAAATTTTGCCGTTAAAAAATAGTAAAAAGCTTCACGTTTTTCTTTCCTCTTAAATGATGGCAATAATAAGCTGTAGAGGGACGCGACATTTGTGCACAAAAAATTTGCGAACAACGTTAGATTTAAAAATGAATGTTCAACTTGGAAATTTATTTTTTAATATTTTTTGACACTTTGACATTCGGAACGACAATTGAAAAAATATTTTTAAAAAATGGCCCAGGAAAATTTAAATAAGAAAAACCCCGCAATTGTCTTGTTCGCAAATGTCGTCTCTTTATATTCCTCTCTCTTTTTTTCTGCTTCATATCTTATTTTTAATGTCGCCTCCACATTTTGCCAATAAGGCAAAAAATACACGTTTTGCCAATAAAAGTGTTGGCAAAACGTGTGTTTTTAGTCTTATTGGCAAAATGTGGATTTGGCAGAATATTGGGGACGCATTCGAAAAAGATATTTTTTCCATACTTCCGTGTCCAATTTTCTTAACAAACTGAAAGTGT